TATAAGGTTTTAACCACTGTTCAGTGTGATTGATAAAAGTTGTTTTTAATTTTTCATCCTTTACATGTTTTGGTCAAAACGACCATCTTCAGAAGGATATTATCAACACTTATGGAAACTACTGTTACATGTCATACATATATATGTTATATCTTTTAACTAATATTAAGATATACATTGATTTTTTAAAACATCTAAAAATTATTACAATTAGTCTGTTTACAAAATAATGTTCAATATTTGTTTTAAACTGGAACCAATTTGGTTTCTTTTCCTTACACTTTTGTAATAATTTTAGATGTGTTAACAGATAAATGTACATCTTAATATTAGTTAAATGATATAACATATATATGTGTGACATGTAACAGTAGTTTCCATACGTGTTGATAATATTCTTCTGAAGATTGTCGTTTTGACTGAAACATATAAGGGATGAAAAATTAAAAACAACTTTTATCAATCACACTGGACAGTGGTTGCAAATCTCATATGCGATTATAAGAGTCCTGTGTTCAATCCACATGCAGATGATCAAGAGTCTTCTGTAGGTATACGAAAACTCGAAAGACACGTAGACTCGGCCAATAATATTAGGTCACGAAACTGTGTAAGACTGATCTTAAAGCATCTTCTTGGAGGTGGTGATAATGTTTTGAACCCAAAATGAATATATAAGCCAATGCCAAACATTATCTGAAGTCTGAATTGTAATCCAGATGTGCTACTAATCTTCACTTAAGAAGGTAGACAGACAGACTTCAAATGTTCCCAAACTTACATTTTTCTTGATATCAGTAATGTATAACTGTAAGTTGACAACCTCAGTCACATATATTCCCGCCACCTAATTATTTAAGACAGTTACAGTATGTTTTAGTCTTTGTTAATATAAATTAACTTGAAATCACATTATTACAAAAGTTGTTACATTTGTGTATTTTGTCATGAAGTAGGGATTATAATTTAAAACATGTACGCCTACTCCATTGGGTGCATGAAGAATATGTTGTTCAGTTAATGTGTTTATTTGCAAG